CACCTTAAAGAGAGACAATGCTAATTTTAAAAATAAAGCCAATAATTCCTCCAAGTATGTTGAAGTTCACATTTCTTACATTGGTGGCTGTTTAGTGGCATCTCTTACTCCTTCCCATTCTTCTGCAGGCTGAGGTGGAGCCAGTCTCAAGGAAGGGCCGAGGGGTGGTTTGGCAAATGGGACACCCAGGTAGGCATGGACGCCAGTCTCCTTCCCTTTCACACTCACATACTCACCTTTCAGGCTCCCGAGCCCCGTGTGGACTACAGGTGCTGTTAGGATATTAGAAATGACTGAAAATCTTCACATAAAACGTTATATTTAAAAAATGAAATCTCCCATTCAAACGTGCTTTGAAATTATAACAGACATACCAAATTTTCACAAAATATGCAATATCTGGTTCTGGTAACGTCATCAAAAGAAAAACTAGTCAACAATTTGATGAATGGTTTAAAAATACTTAGAGAAAAAGCACTTAAAAATTATAACTAAATTCCTCAAAATATTCAATATTTGAATCCTGGCAGCACCTTATTTTTATGAAGACTATATGTGATACAGTCATATGAAGCCATGTGAAAGAACTAAAACTCAGAGTTTACTATATCATGTAGGTGATGGGTGGTTTCTACAATTATCCTGGTAAAAAAGCAGAGTTGAGCATGAGATCTCTTTCTGTTTATTCACAGTCACTGCAATACTCCATTTATTCTTTAACAGCATGAAGTCAGCAAAAAAGAAATTTGCTTAATAACACTTGCACCCTGTCCTACTGAAAAGTTTATCTTCAATCCTCTCCTATCAGCACACCTAGCCTGGTTATCTCCAATCTTTCACCTTTGAACGAAGTGCAGGTGCAACGTAAAGTTAACCTTATGTTCATTTTATTTTAAATCATGTATAATATACAGCTACAGTGTAATGAAATTAACAGTGTGGTCCGAACTGCTTCTGTTTTTATTATAATTATTACTGCCATAATACCACTCAGGGATGATTGATTGCAGCTGCCAGATTTATGCAGATATTTTTCAAAGAGAGGCTCCTGTAATAAAAACATGCACTGCCTGTACGATACACAAACACAAAAGCATAAATTACACATAACTTAAGTGTTGTGACAAAGGTCATTTTGCAAAGAACTGTTTTCTCCTACTCACCCTGAAGGTCTGCAACAACACAGAGGAATAAAACGGACATCAAGAAGCAGAAAGTCTGCTGCACACGGAACTTCATGGTCGACTCTGGATTACAAAACCAGGCAGATTCTCAGAGATGTGAGCCAAAAGCCAACAGACAGAGAGAGTGCTTCCTCTTGTTAAGCTTTTTCCTTTTCTCTTTCACATAGGGAAACAGTTAGTTTCTCTTACAGGATGTGACGTGATTCATTCAGTTTGACACGGGACTAAAGTCCAACCATACAGTGAAGTGTGTCCAGAACACCTTCTCCTTCTTTGTTTTAGACCTGCTTGACTACAGTGCTTTTTTTAATGAAGGGGGATTTATTTTAATTATGGATTTTTATAAAGCCTTTGTGTTGATCAACTTTTCATAATAAAAACTTGCCTCGCTTTGGTTGCAGACATATGTTCCTCAAGTTAATCAGAATGTAATAGATGGCTTAGTACATTTAGGTCAAGGTTTGAAATCAAAAGGGGAGATAAGACAAAGATGTGCTATTTCACCTTTAATGTTTGTAATGGTAGCAGAAGATTTACCCCAAAACACTGACATGGAATGGTATTAATATCATACGAAATCAATTAACAGTAAGTCAGTTGGCAGAGATTTCCTCCCGTTTGTGACAGCTCCACATTGAAACATTGAATTTTGTGAAGGAGAAAAGGAGTAAACTCTCTAACAAACTTTAGAGAACATTCTTACTGATTTTTTTAGCCATTATTTTCTTCTTTCAAACTTTAACCAAAATAAGAAAAACAAATTTTCACACCTAATACTTCCTAAAGCGAAAGAATTCATTTTTAAAAATTGAAATTAAATGTATCCAACTAATGATAATCTGTATTTAAAGTATCCCAGTTGTACAGCTTAAGCACTTCAGTGATTTCATGCCACGAGATGTTTTAATAGCTTACACAATGTTTGCCTTGCTTTATACCTGCAATCTTATTCCTTGTAGATTTTCTATTTATATTGACCATGAGAGATATAGCTACATGTTATGAAGACTCTGCTCAGTGTAGCACAAAGTATGACGTAAATCTTGTTGTGCTTGGTAGAGATATGCTTGTGATATGTAGTGATAAGGTTTATTTTACTACAAGTGTACCATTATATGGACAATATAATGAATTATACATAAACAGCTGTCTACCAATTTTGTGTACGACTGCTTATATAAATATTTCATATCATTATAGGGTGTTGAAACATTGATTAATTTTGCCTTTTTTGTTTCGTTTTGTGTCTTTCTTTAGTAATTAAAGAAAAGCTCAAAAAGACCACATGTTTATATATATCTATATAATTTACATTTTGATTCTAACCTAATACATTTCTGTTTACGCAACATTCTGTATTACACAATACAGTGAAATAAATTAACTTTGTTTGTCACAGTCAGTATAAACCATTGTTTCTTTGGGGCGGGCCCAACTGGTGGGATGGGGATAATTTGAAAAGTATTGAGTAAAACGAAACTGATTGAAACAGATTTTTTGCTGATGCTGATGCTATTGCACCTCTGGATACCAAAACCAAACACAAATTTCCTTACTTTTTTGTAAGTAAGGATCTCAACATGTTTTGGCCACTTACTAAATTCATTTCATCTTAAGCAGGCCTATACTTGAAAAGTTCTATCTGTAAATCCAGCTATTTAAATAATTTGCCTTTGGATCTTTGTTTCTGGAATATCAGGAATATCTCTCAAATCCTCTCCAATGCACAACGTCAGGGAGCTTTTCAGCTTGAGCACACTTGTCAGCAACAGGAGAAAAAAATATTGTCACATCTTTTTATTTTGCTTTCTATCAGTGTAATACAAGACAGCTGGACTCAACTATCAGCCACAAGGAGGATTTCTCCTTTCACCATCGTGCCTCAGTTTGATCGGAGCCTTTTCCTCACAACATGAGGAAAAGGGGGCTGTTGCTGTAATGCCTCCAATATTAAAGACTTATGACAAGATGATATGATATACAGACCGCAGAAAAAGTCTAACATTGAAGTGTGTGCATTCTTAGAGCATCAGTGGCCTTATAGCAGTCATAGAAGGAGTCATGAGTCATATCTTGTTAATAATTTTACCTCCTCACTACGTACGACTCTGGATACTGTAGCTCCTGTGAAAACTAAGGCCTCAAATCAGAAGTACTTGACTCTGTGGTATAATTCTCAAACACGTAGCCTAAAGCAGATGACTCGTAAACTGGAGAGGAAATGGCGTGTCACAAATTTAGAAGATCATCATTTATCCTGGAGAAATAGTTTGTTGCTTTATAAGAAAGCCCTCCACAAAGCCAGAACATCTTACTATTCATCACTGATTGAAGAAAATAAGAACAACCCCAGGTTTCTCTTCAGCACTGTAGCCAGGCTGACAAAAAGTCAGAGCTCTATTGAGCCAACCATCCCTTTATCGTTAACTAGTAATGACTTCATGAACTTCTTCACAATTAAAATTTTAATCATTAGAGAAAAATTAACAATAATCATCTCACAGATGTAATATTATCTACAGCTACTTTTAGTAAAATTGATATTCATTTAGACACTGATGCTAAAAAACTAGTTCATGCATTTATTACTTCCAGGCTGGACTACTGTAATTCATTATTATCAGGATGTCCCAAAAACTCCCTGAAAAGCCTTCAGCTAATCCAAAATGCTGCAGCAAGAGTACTGACAGGGACTAGAAAGAGAGAGCAGATTTTTCCTGTATTGGCTTCCCTTCATTGGCTCCCTGTTAAATCCAGAATTCAAAATCCTGCTCCTCACATACAAGGTCTTAAATAATCAGGCCCCATCTTATCTTAATGACCTTGTAGTGCCATATCACCCTATTAGAGCACTTTGCTCTTGCACTGTATGCTCTTCTGTGGAACCAGCTTCCAGTTTGGATTCAGGAGACAGACACTATCTCTACTTTTAAGATTAGGCTTAAAACTTTCCTTTTTGCTAAAGCATATAGTTAGGGCTGGACCAGGTGACCTTGAGTGTGGCTTTTAAGAAGAAACTATTCTTGAGTCTGTCAGTCTTTGTGCTGATGAACCTTCATTTTTGCGGTGCGGAAATATTTGAGCAAGGTACTGAAATAACTGGACAAAAAATTTAACCCAAATTTGAAATCAGCATGAAAAGAACTACAAATCCCAAATAAAAATACCTGTGATGATTATGACATGTTGACCTGTGTTATTTGAATAAATTCAGTATTAAGGGAAAGTCTCAAACCGCTGCTTTAAAGCTTTATTCATGTTCAGAATGGCATGCAATAGGAAACGTGTTCTTTCACCCGTCAGGGTGCTGTGCTGCTCAGATTACAGACACACACTCTGATTAGAATTTCAGCACCTTTTTTTTTGTCTTAAATTGGTTTAAAAAATCTAATCTGAAGTGTCATACTTAATACATAATTTATTACTGGGGAAAAATTCCACTTCTCTGCCTTTTTTTTTTTTTTTTACAGTAAATGTCCCTTGTTGTATATAATCTCTGCAACACTTGTACCGTGTTCTACTAAAAGAGTTTATCTTCCATCCTCTCCCATGGGTACACCCTGCTTGATTCTTTGCTATCTTTTATCTAAACAATAAATAGGCTATAATGGGAAAGATATCACCTAAACCCCTCAAAATGAGAATAGGTACAAAAAAACTCACAACTTTTTGTTCATTCCTCTTTGAGCTACATATCTAAACAGAAAATATAGCTACAATCTGATTAACATTAAGTACATGTGATATTTAATGGTCAGTTTATTATGACTGTCATTGTCATAAAACCACTGAGTGATGATTGTTTGATATCTTTTGATTTAAATAAATAATGCTGTTAGGATCTTTTTCAAAGAGAGACATTGTTCTCATTCTTATTTGCGGTATTATGCGTATTATTGTCATAATACCACTGAGTGATGATTTATTACTAGTGCTAGATTTAAACAGATCTTTTTTAAACAAACAAACAAACAATGAAAAACGTGCACTATATGTAGGATAAACAAATACAAAGGCGTAAATTTGACATCATTTAAGTGTTGTCACAGCGGTCATTTTCCTAAAAAAAGGTTTTCTCCTACTTACCCTGAAGATCTGCAATAACACAGAGGAATAAAACTGATATCAGAAAAGAGAAAGTCTGCTTTGCATAGAACTTCATGGTCCACTCGACACAACACCACACAGATTCTCAGAAATGTGAGCAAAGAGGCAAGAGACAGAAAGAGTGCTTCATCATATGAGGCTTTCTCCTTTTATCTGTCACATAGAGACAGATAGTGTTTCTTGCAGGATGTGACCCAGTTTTTTATTTATTCATTATATATCAAGACAGCTACAGAGAACCTACCTTATTAGAGTAGCCAAAAGTGACACAATTAATAATTCGGCATTAATACAATAAAAACAACTGTGTTACCTTTAAAAAAAAACCCAAACATATTTGTTTAAACTCTAAAGGTGGACATTTTAACATCGGGCTCCTCGCGCCTCAGAAAATGATACAGGTTGAAAATATGGTGTTCAATACAAAATAATAATCTATACATATTATCCGGTTTTAAAGTATCCCAATTATATAGTTTTTACGCAAAATACCTTTGTGGACAATACATGGTCTTATAATTTTCATACATGTATAATTATACATGGTTTTAGATGTTTGAATCAATGGCATTCGCTACTTCAGTGCAGCCACTAAACTAGCAACACATTTAGCAAACAGGGGAGCAAAAGTTTAATTTCACAAAACCGAAAAAGATTTCACGAGCCAGCCAGGAGTCGAACCTAGAATCTTCTGATCCGTAGTCAGACGCGTTATCCATTGCGCCACTGGCCCGATCTGGTATGAATCATTATCGCGTCACTATTTCAAGAAACACTAAGAAACAGGCCGCGTTGGTTATTCCTGACTTGAAGTTAAAAGATCCTAGCGAGATTTATTTCCAGAAACCAAACATTACGTGTAAGACATTAACCAAAACAACGACACATGATATTTAACTGGAATGCATAAACAGTAAGCGTATGTCCAAATATTTACCGACAAGTAACCCATTTATAAACCTCGTGGTTGCAAACGTGGTTGCCACGGCTGAAGTGATGACTGTTTTCCGCCAAATGTAAGTTTGATCAAACTACTCCTTCCGTTCAGATATGAAACTATATGGAAATTGTGTTATGCTAGCATATTATTCCAAGTTACTGGAAAACTTTTTTTTTTTACATTATACGCATTTTGCCGTACAGGGGAATGTGACCTGGATTATAACGTGATTGAGGGAGTCTGAGTTGAACATGGCAACCACAAAGCAAAACAGGAAGTGTCGTCTGGCGGGAAGTTCGCTTGAAACTTTTTAGAAACACAACAGCGATAAAGTTATAATATTACGGAGTAATTTACCGTCAACTAATTTAAACAGGATGCCCAGGATTAAATGCAACTAGATAATCGATAAGTAGAAGTAAAATAAAAAATAATAACGTTCATAAACTTACTGAGATTTACGAGATAGATTTCTAGCTTATTCTACAGTTGCTAGCCACTTGTGTCAATCTGTGGGTGGACAATGAAAGCAGAAATGGATAAAATTGTCTCACTGTCAGATGAAGAAAATATCCCCGAACTACAGAAATACCTTTCAACCCTGACCGATGACCAGGTAAGTTATTTTACAAACTAAGGGCGACACATTTGGAAATTCCAAAGTCATGTCTGTTTTACCTATAAAATACTCTTACTATCTATCACACAATGTTTAGCTCACCAACACGATTACCAATAGTGCACTGAAGGGCAAGAAGGTTGGGACCATAATAAAAGGCATATTTAAAGGTTTGTACACATTCATTCTTGTAAGTGAAACATCGCAAGATAGCTAAGGTAATATAATTCACTCATACACCATGTCAGAATCATTTAACATATATGCATAATTTCTGCTTGATGATAAGGTATGTAATAAATGTACAGTTTGTGCTTGTTGTTTAGGTTCTCCACCCAGCTCCACTGCTGGGGCAAATCGTAGACTTCTCCTGTATCAGCACTGCATCCCTCTGTGTGAGTCTGGGGATCTTCAGACTGAGGTGGCAGCAGATATCATTGGGTTGCTTATGCTGGAGGTATTTATGTTATACAGAAGTTATTATAGATTTGATGTACACTATATCCAAATATGTTGATTTCATGTAACTGGTTGATTAAATCAAATAAGTGTGTTTTGGAACTACGCTTTTGGGTCTACTTGATTTTTGTGCTTGTAACAGGTTTTTTTTGTCCTGATCTGACTTGCAATCCTATCATTTATAACTACTTGAATTAGATAAGTAGAAATATATTGTGACACTTTCTTTTTTTCATATGAATGAGAATGATTGTTTTAATCTAATACACAGACTCATACACTATCCGGGCCATCTCTTGCAACACTGGGGTCTCTTTTTGTTGATGCCATCAAAGTGGGGAAAATGAGCAGTGGGAAATCTCTGGAACTGTTTCCTACAGTTCTTACTGCACTTGCAGCATGTGAAGCCTTGTCTTATGGCAAAGGTACTTTGTGATCAACATTGTTGTCTAACCTAATATCACATATGTCACAATCTATAAGGTCTAAAACACAATTTTTTGTTATAACTTTAGGGGAACTCAGTGGTGAGGAGTATAAGAAGCAGCTGATTAACAGCCTCTGCTCGAGCAGGTGAGGACATGTCGCATTTGATATATATAGTGATATGCTAATATATATTGTAGTATTTTGGCAGTATTTTATTATTTAGATGCCTTCATGCCTAATTTATTAGAAATTACATGGTCATGTAATGAAAGGGATTATGATGAAGTACCTCAGTGCCAACGTCTTATGTTCTGTTTTAGTCCAATTACCAGTTTGTGATGTAGAGATGAAATGATTTGCAGATGACTGAAAAATATTTTTATTTACATTACATGGTCTTTTTCATACAGATGGGATCCACAGTGTGTCATCCACTTGACAACCATGTTTAGGTAGGACTTTGTTATTTTAAGTTCATTGCATGCTTTAACATATTTCTGTTTCCATCATAATAGAATTTATTTCAATATTGGTGTATTTTACTTTTTTTTTTAGTTCCTTTTAAAATGTTTTACTGTGTCTGCCTCATTTTAGGGATGTGCCTTTGTCATCAGAGGAGTTGCAGTTTGTGGTGGAGAAAGTATTGAGGATGTTCAACAAACTAGATCTGCAGGAGATCCCGCCGCTGGTTTACCAGCTGCTGCTTTTGTCTGCAAAGGTGTGTGACAGTGTGTCTTCAACAACACATTATGTTTCTGTTTGTGTTAGTCATCTAAATGCCGGTCTTGTTCTTTGTCTGTTAGGGTTGTAAGAAACAAGTCCTGGACGGAATCGTAGGTTATTTTAAGGAGCAGGACGCTCGCCAAGAAGAGGAGCAGAAACATGGAGAGTGAGTGTTTCATATACTGCAAGTGGGATTTACTATAGTCACAATATATCTTTCTGTAAACTTTCCATTTACTGACTGTCTGTTTTTTTGTTTGTTTGTTTTTTTAACTTGTACATCCGCTTCTCAGCAGCCTGGATCTAGAGGTTCAGTCTATTCCACAGGACCAGCTAAGGCATGTAGAGGGCACTGCTATCCTCCACATAGTCTTTGCTATAAGACTAGACCATGAGCTTGCAAGGGAATTTCTTAAAGGCTTTAAGGTTATGTATAATATCGCTCATCTGTTCGTTGTTTTAATAGTTTGAGAATTGTTTGTTATATTTGTAAGGATAGTCTGTGTCATAGATATTGATTTTCATTTTGGCAGACATCGTATGCAGACTTGTGTCCTTTCAGTGTTGCCCTGTTGCTCTCAGTGGCACGTATCCAGCGTTATGAAGAGCAGGTTAGAAATCTACACTACACACTACTTCCCGTACTCAGTAGAGTCTTAATTCATGTTATCTTTCCTATTCATTTGTGTTAATCGTTTCATTTTTGATGATGATGATTTTTTTGGAAGGTATTTGAACTTTTGAAAGGGGCCATCATCAAGAGCTTCAAGGACGAGCAGCTACAACAGGGGTCAAAGTTACTACAGGACCTCCTACCCGGGCACTGCAGTGTGGCTCAGATGATACTGGATACAGTCCAGAACAGGTAAGAAGAGCAGAATGTTGATTTATTTGATACCTTCAACAGAAAAACCTGATGTGTTTCTTTCTCCATGATTTCTTTCAAAATAAGGTAATGCCCCTCTGTGGCAGCTCGTGGTCTGTGGTGCCGATGCAGGGGAGGGGGACGCACCTGAGCGGCATCTGCAATCACCTCTCTCCAACATAAAGAGTTTGTTCTGGGTGCTGTCAGTTGTTGTTGGTATGTGTCAGGCTGTGAGCTGCGGAGCTCACAGCCTGCCAAAACCCAGGAGGGGGGCCACGGCAGACCCAGGACCAGAGCTGACAGCCACACAGCGAGAGCAGGCGGCAGTGTCACGCCACCAACAGGAAGAACTCCAGGACCGGATCGAGCGTGCGGTGCAGGTGATTGAGAATCTTGGATCTGGTCCTGGCTGACACCGCCGCGACCCCCACCAGCATTCCCCGACGGCATGGGAGTGGAGGAGGGCCGGGCTGTTCAGGCTCCCCGGATAAAGGCACTGTAGCAAGCACACGGTGACATGTACATGCTGTTCAGCATACTTTATTCACCACTTTTCTCGCGGTTGCTGTACACACACACACACACACAGTCAGCTGCAGCTCCGCAGCTCACAGCCCAACACATACCAATAACAACAACTGACAGGACCCAGTACAGACTCTTTATGCCGACGAGGTGTGATTGCGGATGCCCCTCAAATTTATCCGCCTCCCCTGCAGCGGCACCGCAGACCACACCCCGCTACACCCTCAATAAAAATAAATGACATGGTACAACACAAACAGTATTTGTATTTTAACCTCTCACATGAGGTCTACGTTTCCATCCGTATAGTGTGTTCGGATGGGATCATGTTACCCAAGGGCTAGTGCAGCTGGGCTTCTTCCTGATGGATGCATTTGGACCCAAACCTGGACCATTTGGCAAGACCACGGAAGGCTCTCTAGCTGTAGCCCGAACACCAACTCAACAAGCGTGTAAGCTAGGAGGACAGGTGCTACTCCAGGGCTTTAAGGTAACATTTTTTTGTTATGCTATGAAGTATTGTAAATAAAGGATTTTCAATGTCATGCAAATATTGTGTATTTTATGTCTTTAACAGATGCATGAGCCTATCAGGGGAGAGATATTGGAGCAGGTCTTAAATCGACTAGTCACAAAGACAGCCTCACCTGTCAGTCATTTCTTAGGTAACACAACCTCTAGACAGCAGGGTTAAGTTATAGATGCACAGCAGCATTTTTTGACTTTATAGAATATGTTTTGACAGTTTTGTTTGTTTGTTTTTTATTCTTGTGTTTTAATGTTTTTTTTTCTTCTTCAGACCTTTTCTCTGATATTGTGGTCTCTGCCCCAATGATCCTTCTGGAGTCATCCTCTAAGGTGACAGAGACGTTTGACCACTTGTCATACCTGCCTTTGGCCACCGTTCAAGGTCTACTCAAAGCTGTCCAGGTACCTAAACAGGCCAACAGATACACATAAATGCTCTAGAGGTTTCTATTGTGTAATCGTTGGTTTCTGTTTAATCTTCAGCCCCTGCTCAAGGTCAGCATGTCCTTGAAAGATGCTTTAATTTTAGTTCTTCGGAAGGCCATGTTTTCCAGGTTTGTGCTACTTTATTCTTAACACAGCTTTAAAGTGCAATTAAAGAAGGGTGGCTTATACTAACCAACCCCCTTACTTGACTCTACTAGCCAACTGGATGGTCGGAAGTCTGCAGTTACAGGCTTCTTGTTGCTTCTGAAGAACTTCAAAGTGTTGGGCAGCTTGGCCTCGAGTCAGTGTAGCCAGGCAATCTCCTCCAGCCAGGTACAGTTGCAGTAAAACTCTGTATACTGTACATACTTGCTTCTAGAAAGTGTGCTAGAAACACTGCAGGTGTGGAACCGTCTAATTTTTTGGTTTGTCTTTCTGTCACAATTCATAGATCCAAGTGGATGTTCACTCGCGATACAACTCAGCTGCCAATGAAGCATTCTGCTTGGAGATCCTCAGCAGTCTGCGTCGCTGCCTCAGCCAGCAGGCTGATGTGCGCCTCATGCTCTATGAGGTCAGAAGCATTTTTTTAATGTCATGTCTTATTATGTTTATCAGTGTGAAGAAAGGGCTAGAGACGTGAACCTGGGATAGTTAGTGGATACATTTTTACAAAGGGTGTTGAATATGAAGCTGGCAGGCATAAGAAAAGAGAAATACTACAGAGAAGTTTCATAGATGTAGTGAAGGAGGACATGAAGCGGGACGGTGTGAAAGAGGTGGATGCTAGAGATGGGGTAAGATGGAGGCAGATGATCTGCTGTGGTGATCCCTAAAGGGAAAAACGAATCTGAGTTAACCTCTACTCTTTTGTTATTTATGTGTATAGATACGGTTTAGCTGTAAAAATGTTACTTTCATACTGAAAAAGAAAATTCTTGTGGTTTTTAAGGGTTTTTTTGATGTTCTTCGTCGTAACTCGCAACTTGCAAGCTCCATCATGCAGACCCTTTTGTCACAGGTATGTATATGTATGAGTTAACTGCATGCTGTCTTAGTTATAATGGACTTGATGATGTATCAGAAGCTTGCTTGTCCTTAGCTGAAGCGGTACTACGAGCCTGAACAAGACCTCCTGCCCCCAGTGAAACTGGAACCATGCATCACTGCTCACGGAGACCAAGTCTACCTCCAGGAGCCTCTGGTACTCTTGTGTGCACTGTACCATATTTGCAAGTTGTTTTATTTCGACTGATATGCGAGCTATAAATAGTGTTATGTTTCAGGCCCATCTGCTGAGCTGTACTGTACATTGCTTGATGTGGCTGCAAAACACACGCCAGTCAGCCAACCCCAATGGCGATGACAGTGATGGTGATGAGGAAGAGGAGGAAGGATACCGGTCGGACCTACATGCTATTCTAGAGAGTATGACAAGACGCATGATCAAGTGCGAACTAGAAGACTTTGAACTGGTATGTCTTGAAATCAAGAGCAAGCAGCTTCTTTGTCCTTAGCAGATTTCAGATTATTCTGCTCTTCCTTGCTTTTACGTTGGCTCTGAACCTTGGTCTGTTCCAATATTGCTAAGTCTTATAATGTGTGTATACTGATTAGGACAAGTCGGCTGAGTTTTCAATGGGATCCAGTGTTGGAGTGAAGAATAATATCTATGCTGTGCTGGTGATGGGAGTGTATGAGGTCCTCATGGAGTACAACTTTATCAAAGCCAACTACAGGTAACAAGCACCTGTTTTTGAATTGTGCATTTTGAGAAAGTGTTGTTGTGTTACACAGTTGAATTTATAAACCCACAGCAACTGTTCAGGTCACTACGTTTACTGACTGATACACAGAGCCAGCACTCCCCCTATAGCTGATTTCATTGAAGTAACACAAAAATACTTGGATCTTTACCAAAATAAAAGTTTAACAAAGTTAATCATCCTAATTTAATTATGCATCATACAAAAATATGCCATATTATGCAGCGAGGATTTCTTTTTATAATTTACCGTTGTATCTTCCCCCGTTTCTTGCAGTAAAAGGTGCTTTGAGGAGATCATCGAGCTGTTCAGCCGTTACCACAAGCTGTCTGAGATCCTGAAGGAGAAGTCTGGAAAGGGTCGGGTGCCCTCACACAAGACCCCCCGCAGTTTATTCTCAATGGGCATCATATCAACATCAATCACTGTGCTCTTCAGGTAAATGGTTTCTGTAGCGTTGCTTACATGGACTACTACTAGACCTGTGGAATTTAATAAAATCAGTTATTTATAGTTTGCAGCTGATTGTAGGCACTCTGATTGTTTAAATCTATTCATTAAAATGCTAATTAGAAATACTATGCAAACTTGGAAAATCAAATTCCATGGATAAGAATTAGAAATGGTAAATCAGATCAAATCTTCTTTTGCAGGGATAACACTCAGAGCAGAGAGGAGGCTCTCTCAGTACTTCGTTCAAATGGAGAGTTTGTGCGTTATATACTGAGCGTGGTTGTGCAGAAGATCCAGCAGCTGGATGAAACGGGACACACAGACGGCCCAGATGGACAGAACGCAGACAAGACTTTCCGCTTCCTCTGTGACATGACCAGGTAGAAATCTCTTGGGCTAAATGACAGCACACGATTTGTTTATTATAATACTTATAGGACCAAAAATGAGAATAAACGATCTCTGTCTATGTCTCTTTATAGTGTCCTGATGTGGCGTTACACGAACATCCCCAGCGTGGTTGAGGAGGGGGGAAAGAAGGAGAAGCGCTCCAGTTTGTCTCAGCTGTGTCTGGAGGGTTTGCTCAGGATCTTCACAACCTGCCAACAACGCTACCCAGACAAGATGGCCCAGCTGCTCTCTACCATGGGTTGGACAAGCAGTGAAAAAGCAGTACATTTTGTAGCAACAAAAAATATACAGGAATTAATCATTATGTGTTTCTTTGAAATGATGCAGAAAATGGCACAGAGCAAGATGACGAAGGCGATGTTGTAGAGATGAACTACTTTTACATCCGACAGTTTCAGGTGCTTCTGATTTAACACTAAATAATACAAGAAAACTGTGTTTATTAAGTATGACATGTTTGCTAAAATCCAGTTTTCTTTGCCCGTCAACAGAGGGCGCTGTTCACACAGTTAAGTGGCGGTGAGGAAGACTTTAACAGCAAAGAGGCCCAGCTTCTGATCAGCATCCTAAGCGTACTCTCGCGCCAGCTAAAGCCGTCCTCCCAGCAGGTAAATTTATTTTTAAATGCACTCCACCGAACAAATTAACATACTCCTGTTCTAATTCACTATTATCTAATTAACAGTTTGTTCAGATGATCACGTGGACTGTGAAAATCTGCAAAGAGACCAGTTTTGGTAAGTTATAGTTTACTTAACCTCTGTGTCTATATTAGGTGCATATTAGGTGCCATTTCCTGATGTGTGTGTATGTGTGTGGGGGTTTTCTCTCCCTTTAGAGGATTCTGCCTTCTGTAAGGGCCTGCTCTCTCTCCTCTTCAACCTTCATGTTCTTTATAAGAGTCCTGTAGGCCTACTGCTGGAGCTCTGCCAAGACATCCACAGCGAACTGGGAGATATTGATCAGGTACGAACAATTTTTTCTTTGCAGTGTTCAGAGCACAATTTGGCATTAAACTATACTGATACTGTTATTACTGCAACTCATTTAATTATATAAAACTGCACACACAGCTAGAGTTGATCGACAGACTATATTGCCAAAAGTATTCATTCACTCATCCAGATCATTGAATTCAGGTGTTCCAATCACTTCCATGCCCACAGGTGTATGAAATCCAGCACCTAGACATGCAGACTGCTTCTACAAACATTTGTGAGAGAAAGGGTTGCTCTCAGGAGCCACCCGTGCAACAAGTCCAGCTGTGAAATCTCCTTGCCAGCATATATTCAATTGTGAACTGTTACTGGTGTTTTATCAAAAAATGACTGGGATTGGGAAGTAGTTGGCCACGTAAAATCATAGAGCAGCGTCAGCGGATAATGAGGCACATAGTGCGCAGAGGTCGGCAACTTTCTCAACATTGATCACTACGGACCTCCAAACTTCAGATAAGCTCTGGAAGATTTGTAGAGAGCTTCATGGAATGGGTTTCAGTGACCAAACAGCTGCATCCAAACCTTACATCACCAAGTGCAATGCAAAGCATCATATGTAGTGGTGTAAAGCAGCGGTCCCCAACCCCCGGGCCTCGAACCGGTACCGGTCCGTGAGTCGTTTGGTACCGGGCCGCGAGAGTTGAGGCTCAGGTGTGAAATGTTTTCAGCGTTATTTTGTTATCGTTTTTATCGTTTACTCGGTTTTCCTGGGTCTTTTCACGTGTGTTATGAATAAATTTTCTTTTTTTCGGTACCGGTACTAGTTTTATTTTGTTGTATTTATCCGCGACACCTTAAAGGCCGGTCTATGAAAATATTGTCGGGCATAAACCGGTCCGTGGCGCAAAAAAGGTTGGAGACCGCTGGTGTAAAGCACGTCACCACTGGAATCTAGAGCAGTGGTGACGTGTTCACTGGATTGACAAATCAGGCTTCTCCGTCTGGCAATCCATCAGACGAGTCTGGGTTTGGCGGTGGTATGGTGCATGCCAAGACATTTTAGACAATTTCATCCTCTGAACTTTTCGGGAACATTTTGGGGCTGGCCCCTTTCTGTTCCAGCATGACTCCATACCTGTCCATAAAGGCATGGATGAGCCAGTTTGGTGAGAATCTGACTGGCCTTCAGAGTCCTGACCTAAACCCAAGAGAACATCTTTTGAATGAATTGGAGCAGAGATGGCGAGTAGGCCTTCTTGTTCAACATCAGTGTCTGACCTCACAAATCCACTTCTGGAAGAATGCTCAAAATTCTTATAAACATACTCCCAAACCTTCTGAAAGCCTTCTCAGATGAGGTGAAGCTGTTATAGCTGCAAAGCTGGGCCAACATCATTTCAGACATTATGGATTAAGAATGAAATGTCACTCAAGTTCATATGAAAGAATTTAATGATCAAACAAGTTAAACAAGACTATTTTAAATCCAAGTTTCGTTCCCACAGTATACTGATGACTGTAACCTTCATACACCCACATTAAAGTGCATTTGTGAACTGATGTCTTTTATTTGTTTTCCTGTCTCAGGATGTGGAGGTGGAAAAGCAGTCCAATTTTGCCATTGTCAACATGAAAACTGCTTCAACAGCAGCAGTAAGTGTTGGTTTTCTGACTGACTGGCTGTGAGAGTTATGCCTTTGCTTATCCTGCTCACCTTCTTCTTCATGTTAATGTCTTGTCCCAGCTGCTGGTCCTGTCTCAGGTTGACAGAGTGCTTGATGAAGTGGACTGGCTTATTGCCAGGAAGAAAAGTCAGACAGCTTCTGACAAATTGGGCTGTGGTAAGAAGCCTTTCACACTGATGCTCACTCTGATTAATGCTGAGGAGGAAGAGATGCATTTGTCAGCAAGTGGGGCTAAAATGCAAGTGATGCTGTGTTTCATAAATGTGTAGGTGAAGCCACACAGACTGCAGGTCGGCAGGACCCAGTTGAGAAAGCAGTGACGCTGCAGCTTGGGACTCTCTTAACAGCGCTAAGTGAGCTGGTCCAGACGGCCTTGCTGCTGGGCACCTGCACCGTTACACTGTTAAGAGAACTGACCCGCACGTATACCATCCTCACCACGCTGGTCAAATATGTGTGTATTTGTCAACTTGATGTTCTGAGTGAAAATGTCAGGGCAGCTTGCAGAGTGTAACATTACATTTTCTTCATTTTACTTTAGTATATCCAGGTGTGTGCCAGCCAGCACGGGTCGCTGCCAGCTCGCTTTGAGAAGCTGGTGAGTCCAAGCTACTGTCACCTAGCTCAAATTTTCCTGTATAGATCTAACGTCATACTAACTGTTTCATATTTGCAGGTCAAACTATCTGGCTCCCACCTAACACCACAGTGCTATTCTTTTATCACATATGCTCAGGTATTAGCATGGTTCAGTTTGTCCAGCTCCGTTGCATTAATGTTTTGTTGTTACAGAAATGACACAAGATGCTTTTTATTCCTCTTAGAGTGGAGACATCAGTGGTGGAGGTGCAGATGACAAAAAGAAAAAGAGAAGGAATGACGTGAACACCGGTGCTTCTGTAAGGCCTCTTGTAAATTTAATGGAATGAGGACTGAACAATACAAATTTTGTTTTTAGAATAATGAAACATATGCATACAAAGAAATATAAACAAGTCTGTTATGTTTTTCCTCTTGGAAGGCAAAACTTTTGCGTGAGACTAAAGCTATCCCCAACCTGATCTTCAGCATTGAGCAGTATGAGAAGTATCTCATCACACTCTCAAAGAAATCAAAGGTTTGTGTAAATATTGAAAAAATATATACATTTTTTAAAACTCTGCAGGCCTCTGGACACTGTAAAAATCTATCTGCATGTTTTTCCAGGTAAACTTGATGCAGTACATGAAGCTGAGCACTTCGAGAGATTTCCGCATCAATGCCGCTACTCTGGATGCAGCCCTGCAGGAACAGGATGACAGTCAGGTGGTAAGCGCTAGCTCAGCTCCACAGGAGCTTCAATACTGTTCAACATACACAACAGCCTCTTCTCTCCACTTTTACTTTATTATACGAGTCCATAAAACTGACTCCATATCCACACTGTTCCCACGGTTGAAATGTGCATGTAGCTTGATGCTTTGAATGCTCTGAGCTAAAAGTAGATCATTTTTCCCTTCAACACCCTCTCTTTGTTTGTTTGTCTTTGTTCTTCCATTGCTCTCAGACCACAGAGTCACAGGACACCACCGAGACACAAGAACCCAAACAGAAGAAGAGGAAACAGTGAGGTCATACTGGGCACCACTGCTACACACACGCACACACGTCCAGACTGCAGCAGCGGGTGTTGTATGTTTGGAATAAAAGCTGTCTGGTCCACAAAGAGCTATCTCCCTTTGTTTAGAGAGCCTTTAGTGATGTCGATGATTTGGTAGATGTCCAAGGCCTCACCTGTGGAAAGTTTGCACACATTATTTAGTATTCTGATTGTGTTCCTCAAGTTCACTTTATCAAAAAGCCTTCTTGCATTTCCAACCACAGTTTATATCTGTCTTTGTCTTGATTACATTAAAATAGTCATTTCTAATTTGGCTTATTTAGAAATTTGAAACTTATTTGATTTACTTCCTTTCAGGAATTCTCGTGATAAACAAGCTGTGCTGTTGATTTGCTTAAAATTCTTGAAGACTAACTGAATACTGTGTGGTCATGCTAAGAGGTGGATTTAATTACTTTCCATATACATTATTGTATTTTAAAGAGATGTTTAGTCCAGCTTTTGTAAGGTGTTGTTTTAAAACAAATTGCTCTGTACACGAGCATTTTTGTAGCTTTAAGTGCTAGAGCTAAATTGCATGTTCTTGCGTCTGAATTTGTTACATTTAGATTTTGTAATGAGACAAGCTGTCCTGTCTTTCCTGTGCACTTTGTATAAGAAACATTTGTATAATAAATATACTACTCTTAATGTTGGAAGAAGGCTGGTGATGGTGTGCAGAACTCACCAGGCGGTAGACCATACTTTCGTTCCACACCTGTGGGGTTAGAGGGAGTCACACAGTCCATGTTGACCTCCTTCCTCAAACACTGATCAATGTCAACTGCACTGAAGAAGGCTACAGACTGGGGAAGGTCCTGCATGCCTAAAGCATGAGCAAACATACTCCTGCAGGAAGAGAAACACAGTAACCATCCATTATAGAGCACACAGTTTGTCAGTGAGAATATACGGTCAGCTAAGAGCACACCTTGTAAGGAGGTTTGTGATTTGAAGTGCCAGAGCTGCTCGGTAACAGTCTTCACTGCGGACCAGGTACCGCACCTCATCATGGATGCTGATGCAGAAGCGGCCATCAATGTTATACTCCTCAATGAGCCACTTCATGACCACCAACATCAGATGGAGGTAGTCCACTGCAGAGCTCTGAACCACCCAGTTCACTCTGCTGGTGATAAACTGAAAGGAGACATTAATGAAGAGTTTATTTTGCCATTTAGAGCTCTCTGACTGACCTCTTGAGTAATGCATTGGTCGTTTGTTGTATTGGCAAAACATGCATATCCCTTTAAATACTCAGATTAAATCATATATATATATATTATACTCCTGCTGCCAGCTTTAGTCAGTCACCTCATCTTTAACCGCATTGGGCTCCAGTGCTCTGCTGATCCTGCAGCCTAGAACAGGAGTGGCCGGGTTCTTTGAATGGGCTATACTCTCCAGCTTATTGAACATGTCCGACTCAGTACCTCCAGCCCACAGACGCTTCCCAACAATATCCCATCTTTTCCGTCGAGAACTGAGATGGTGTCAGGAGCACAAAAAAAGCAAAATTAAAGAGGAGAGCACCTGAGAGGAGGATATTCAGGGACAGTAAATGGGTTATTGCAAGCCAGGCACTTGTGAATGTTTGTGTTTTGCGTTCTCACGATTGTGAAGCCACTCTAGTGATCCTCCGCAATTCTTGGAGGGAGACACTTCCATCTTCCTCCCGCTCCACATCTATACCCAGTTCATTCACCAGCCACTCGCCGTCCTCTGACAAATGATATCTGACAAATACAAACACCTGTCTTTTTATAGCAGATAACCACCTTAAACATTCTGCAGTAGAACAAAAACAGAAGAAAACCATTAATCAACATATAAACATTACCTGATGCTGCTGAAGTGAAGCAGAGCAAAGTTACGCAGGTTTAATTAGAGACACAGTTAAGTGTTTTGCAACTTTGCAAAATTTTAAAAAGTTTAAATGTCTTCAGTATTGAACAGCAGAAATTAGGCTCTTGTCTGAAGTCAAATTTAAATTTAAAAAAAACAAACAAAAAAAACCAGCGGCCGACAGCGCTGTACATAACGGTAGACTTGTGCGTAATAAGCAAGCGAATAATGCAGAAAACAGATTTTTAGATAAGAAACTGTTCTTGAAGTGCACTGAGAGAGAGAGAGAGAGAGCTGTGCACGAAGTGTCATTTTACCGTGGCGGAAGCAAAACAGCAAAAATAAGAGGGAATACATGACGATGTTTATGTGAAGCGTAGTTTGGATCTTCTTTTGCTGCTGGTTCAGTCAAATTTGGTTGGAGAGAGACAAAGCCTACAGCTCCGGAATCTACCGCAAAAAAACCCCACGTAAACACAATGCACGGACCCACCGACGCATCAGAATCTGTGAGCTGTCGGCATGACGGCGTGTCCGTGTACGTGCAGTCGGGTGAGAAAGCCAAAATCTCACCGATTCTTATCCGTCGGCGGTTCCGCACTTTGTGTTTAGGTCTTCATGCTGAATCCGTGTACCTGCTCTCATTTGCGTTTTTAGCTGTTTGGTGGTTGTCAAAATTTTGTGAGGTTTAACCAGAGATTCTGGCGTTTCGGACAAAATAAATTTATATTTAAGAATCAATTCAGGATTTTAATGAATCGTTATCGCGTTATTCAAGCTAGAATCGATTTTAATCGGAAAACTGATGATCAAAACCCATCCCTACGTTGAACTTACCTGCGTATACCTTTTGTTAGGGCATACATCTGTCTGGCCTTACTGGCAGCTTCTGTCTGACCGAGGCGGTGGTTGAACTGCATGAGCAACCTCTCAGCAAAGGGCTGCCCTGCGCCATATATGCGTCCATAGTTAAACACCTTTGCGTGCTCTCGGCTGATGCCCACAGTATCAGCGGTACGGCTGTGCAGGTCAGTGCCTTCACTCTTTTTTCCCTGGAGGGTCATCCAGCCAAATGCTGTACAACCTAAACCACAGAGAGACATATGCAGCATTGTCATTAAAGGAAGACACATAACAAAGTCTCCTTCTGTAGATTTCTTTAGAACCAAACCTGTCATACCGTGCATGCCTGCAAAGTGAGCCTCTCCAAGCACTGCGGCAATCCACAACTCTTGTGAATCTACATCTGCTCCTATCAGGTGATATCCAGGTGGTACCTGCACCATGGCCTTTAGCTCACTGCCTACCCGATCCCGCTGTTGACACAGAATAAAGCCCATACAGAATTGCTCTAGTGTCTGATCAGTATTTTCAGACTTATCCAGATTAGCGTGTCGGCTCTGCTTCTTACCCGTGCATTACTGGCAGTCAACCACGTCGGCTCCACAGCTCTACGTGTTACCGTTCCAGCAGTAACGACCTGAGGTAATATGGCACCATACTGGCCCTCCTCAACAAAATCTTTGTGTCTTTGGGGAAATGTTACATTCATTACCCTCATTACTTTATGTCTAATCAATCAATCTTTTCTTTTTAAAAAAATATTAGACAAACCTGCTGACAGAACGGGGAAGCTCCCCTTTTCTGAGCCACAGCACCATCTGAGAACTACGAGAAGACCTTTTAGCATTACTAAAGTTTATTTGTTATTGAATTACTTTGATTAACTCTAATGGGAGTACCTTATACGTTTATGGGCATTCCTCCAGAAAGACATCATTTTGTTGATTTCCAGAGCTCGTGTTGCATTGGTGCCACCTCTTCCTGCTCTCAGAGTGCCATCCTCCATCTTGGACAGGAAGTCCTTGGAGAACGGACTGCCGACATTGTTGTGATTGCCATCCTTTAAACACAAATAATTGGTCACAAGGTAAAAATAGCTTGGTGGAACAACACTGTGCCTATGATATATATTAATAATATAAATTCACCTTATGAGGTAATTTGAAAAACCAGCAACCTGGTATATCGACATCATTGTAGGGGCCGTTTCCATGGTGATAATGGCAATGACTCCCCTCTTTCATATAATGTGGATCTGTAGACTATTGTTGGTAAAGAATACAAAGTATGTTATAAACAAATCATAGTGAAACACTAAACCTGACACGATAGGTGTAATTTAAACTTACAAGCCTGTGCACTCACCCTGTTTTTGTTCTTCTCTGCACTTTTTCTCATTCTGAGGGCGTTTTCCTCCATCTGGCTTTCCAGGGAACTTAATTCCTCCACCTATACATGACAATAAGAAAAAAAACATTATTAAGGTAGATGTGTTATCTGTTCAGAGCACGTAGCCCCGATCAATCAACTCCAACCGCAATCACATGTATTACTGTTGATACTGAAGAAAAGGTCTAAATTTGATGAAAGATTTTTGCAAATTCCAACAGTCTGTAGTGCATGTGGTATCTGTTTGAAGCATGTTGCAATATTCTATGCAAAATTCTCCAAACATGATGGTATATTATGTACCTTTGTCCACACCGTGCTGTCTGTTAACATGAGGTCATCTGAAGGGATTGAGTCCAGATAGTCCGGTCGCTCCTTGCTATGCTGCTCACAGTACTCTTTGTACACACTTTCAATAGCTCTGTGAAAAACAACAAAACTTTAATACACTGATAAAAATCTCCAGCCATCAATGATCGTCCTGCTAAGATCAGGTCATGATGTGAAAGCACCCTGCCATGTTTTTACTTTGAGAGCAGTATGTGATTCACCTGTGGGGACACACGGGCCCGGCGTTTTCCTCCTGGGAATCAAGGTTATCCCTGCGTCCAGGTACCAGATACCCCCACCCGTGTTTCTCTGTGTAATGCAAGGGGAAACCATCCCAAGTCAAACCCATCAGTTTAGGTGTCAGTCGCATTTGCAGGCTGATCAGACTGGCTCCAGGTGACCAGCTGTCGTCAGACATCTTCTCACACAGCTTACGATACCACCTAAAGAAGAAAATGAGGAAAAAGAACTGACTTACACCATCAGTGGGAAACAGAACTGGAAATGGCTCCGTGGAGTGTGAGAGCGATCTTACCCTGGATGTGCAGGTAGATGCTGCCTTCTCTTT